TGACGTACCCAGACAATAGGTGCTGGGAACACAATGAGGTACCATGACAATATGTGCTGGGAACACAATGAGGTACCCAGACAATAGGTGCTGGGAACACACTGAGATACCAAGACAATAGGTGCTGGGAACACAATGAGGTACCAAGACAATAGGTGCTGGGAACACACTGAGATACCAAGACAATAGGTGCTGGGAACACAATGAGGTACCAAGACAATAGGTGCTGGGAACACTCTGAGGTACCAAGACAATAGGAGCTGAGAACACTCTAAGGTACCAAAACAGTGCTAATCCACAGTGATTGTAGTTATAGGAATTATTTGTTTTAATCTATTTTTATTTGCCCAGAGTCATTCATTCCTTTAATATACATTTTTTCTTCAAGTATTATTAGTCACAGATATACTCATTTGTGCCGAGGTCTGTTTTTTTTATATATATTTACCTCAATATATGAAAGTACCGAGATTATAAGTCCATTCAATTGGGGGGGGGGGGGGGGGGTGTAATTCACAGAACCTTTTTCGGTAAATGGCGGAACAACATGGAAAAGGCTGCGAACCTCTGCTCTAACTGAATACTTCCCCTCCCCCTCCCTCCCTTCCATTCCTTTCAAAAGGGCATCACTCACAACCACCCCCCAACCTCTTACCCCAACCTTCTCCCCAACACCCTCCCCACCCCTCACCCCAACCCTCTCCCCAACCCTCACCCCAACCCTCACCCCAATCTCCTTCCCAACCCTCTCCGCAACCCTCTCCCCAACCCTCACCCCAACCCTCACCCCAACCCTCTCCCTAATCCCCTCCCCAACCCTCTCTCCAACCCTCACCCCAACCCTCACCCCAACCCGCTCCCCTCTCACCCCAACCCCCCAACCCTCACCCCTCCCCTCCCCAATCTCCCCCTCCCCAACCCTCTCCCCAACCCTCTCCCCAACCCTCACCCCTCCCCATCCCCTCTCCCAACCACCCCAACCCTCACCCCAACCCTCTCTCAACCCTCACATCCTCCCCATCCCTCACCCCATCCCTCACCCCAACCCTCTCCTCAATCCCCTCCCCCAACCCTCCTCCCCAACCCTCTCCCAAACCCTCCTCCCCAACCCCCTCCCCAACCCTCTTCCCAACGCTCTCCCCAACCCCTCCCAACCCCCTCCCCAACCCTCTCCCCAACGCTCACCCCAACACTCTCCCCAACCTCTCCCCAACCCTCACCCCAGCCCTCTCCCCAACCCTCACCCCAACCCTCACCCCAACCCTCACCCCAACCCTCTCCCCAACCCTCATCCCCAACCGTCTCCCCAACCCTATCCCAACCCCTCCCAACCCTCACCCCAACCCTCACCCCACCCCTCTCCCAACCCTCACCCCAACCCTCTCCCCCAACCCTCTCCCCAACACTCACCCAAACCCTCTCCCCAACTCTCACCCCAACCCTCTCCCCAACCTCACCCCAACCCTCTCCCCAACCCCCTACCAACCCCCTCCCCAACCCTCTCCCAACCCTCTCCCCAACCCTCTCCCCCAACCCTCTCCCCAACCCTCTCCCCAACCCTCTCCCCAACCCTCTCCCCAACCCTCTCCCCAACCCCCTCCCCAACCCTCTCCCCCACCCTCTCCCCCAACCCTCTCCCCAACCCCCTCCCCAACCCTCTCCCCAACCCTCTCTCCCAACCCTCACCCCCCCCCTCCCCAACCCTCTCCCCAACCCTCTCCCCAACCCTCTACCTAACCCTCTCCCCAACCCTCACCCCCATCCCCAACCCTCAACCCCCTCCCCAACCCTCTCCCCAACTCTCACCCCAACCCTCTCCCCAACCCTCTCCCCAACCCTCTCCCCAACCCCCTACTCTCCCCAACCCTCTCCCCAACCCTCACCCCATCCCTCTCCCCAACCCTCTCCCCCCCCTCCCCAACCCTCTCCCCAACCTTCTCTCACCCCAACCCCCTCCCCCAACCCTCTCCCCAACCTCTCCCCAACCCTCTCCCCAACTCACTCCCAACCCTCTCCCCAACCCTCTCCCCAACCCTCTCCCCAACCCTCTCCCCAACCTCACCCCCCCTCCTCCCCAACCCTCCCCTCCCCAACAACCTCTCCCCAACCCTCACCCCAACCCCCTCCCCAACCCTCACCCCAGCCCTCTCCACAACCCTCTCCCCCAACCCTCACCCCACCCTCTCCCCAACCCTCTCCCCAATCCAAACTCTCTCCCCAACCCTCACCCCAACCCTCTCCCCCAACCCTCTCCCCAACCCTCTCCCCAACCCTCTCCCCAACCCTCACCCCAGCCCTCATCCCCCAACCCTCTCCCCAACCCTCTCCTCAACCCTCACCCCAACCCTCTCCCCAACCCTCTCCCCAACCCTTTCTCCAACCCTCTCCCCAACCCTCACCCCAACCCTCACCCCAACCCTCTCCCCAACCCTCTCCCCAACCCTCACCCCAACCCTCTCCCAACCCTCTCCCCAACCCCCTCCCCAACCCCCTCCCCAACCCTCACCCCAACCCTCTCTCCCCAACCCTCACCCCAACCCTCTCCCCAACCCCTTCCCCAACCCTCACCCCAACCCTCTCCCCAACCCTCACCCCAACCCTCTCCCCAACCCTCACCCCAACCCTCACCCCAACCCTCTCCCCAACCCTCTCCCCAACCCTCTCCCAACCCCCTCCCCAACCCTCTCCCCAACCCTCTCCCCAACCCCCTCCCCAACCTCTCCCCAACCCTCTCCCCAACCCTCTCCCCAACCCTCACCCCAACCCTCTCCCCAACCCTCTCCCCAACCCTCACCCCAACCCTCACCCCAACCCTCACCCAAACCTCTCTCCCCCAACCCTCTCCCCTCAACCCCCTCCCCAACCCTCACCCCAACCCTCTCCCCAACCCTTTTCCCCCTCCCCAACCCTCTCCCCAACCCTCACCCCAACCCTCACCCCAACCCTCACCCCAACCCTCTCCCCACCCCTCTCCCCAACCCTCTCCCCAACCCTCCCCCAACCCCTCCCCAACCCTCCCCACCCAACCCTCCCCAACCCTCACCCCAACCCCTCCCCAACCCTCACCCCCATCCTCACCCCAACCCTCACCCCACCCTCTCCCCAACCCTCTCCCCAACCCTCTCCCCAACCTCCTCTCCCAATCCCCTCCCCAACCCTCACCCAACCCTCTCCCCAACCCTCACCCCAACCCTCTCCCCAACCCTCACCCCAACCCTCACCCCAACCCTCTCCCCAACCCTCACCCCAACCCTCTCCCCAACCCTCACTCCCCAACCCTCTCCCCACCATCCCCCAACCCTCACCCCAACCCTCTCCCCAACCCTCACCCCAGCATCTTCCCTCTCCCCCAACCCTCTCCCCAACCCCCTCCCCAACCCTCTCCCCAACCCTCTCCCCCCCCAACCCTCTCCCCAACCCTCACCCCAACCCTCCACCCCAACCCTCACCCCAACCCTCTCCCATCCCCAACCCTCTCCCCAACCCTCTCCCCAACCCCTCTCCCCAACCCAGCCTCCCCAACCCTCTCCCCAACCCTCTCCCCAACCCTCACCCCAACCCACTCCCCAACCCTCTCCCCAACCCTCTCCCCAACCCTCTCCCCAACCTCTCCCCAACCCTCACCCAACCACCCTCACCCCAACCCTCTCCCCAACCCTCACCCCAACCCTCTCCCCAACCCCACTCCCCAACCCTCTCCCCAACCCCCTCCCCAATCCCTCCCCTAACCCTCACCACAACCCTCTCCCAAACCCTCACCCCCACCCTCTCCCCAACCCTCACCCCAGCCCTCTCCCCAACCCACTCCCCAACCCTCTCCCCAACCCCCTTCCCAATCCCCTCCCTAACCCTCACCCAAACCCTCTCCCCAACCCTCACCCCAACCCTCTCCCCAACCCTCACCCCAACCCTCTCCCCAACTCTATCCCCAACCCTCACTCCAACCCTCACCCCAACCCTCTCCCCAACCTCTCTCCCCAACCCTCACCCCAACTCTCTCCCCAACCCTCACCCCAACCCTCTCCCCAACCCTCACCCCAACCCTTCTCCCCAACCCTCACCCGAACCCTCTCCCCAATCCCCTCCCCACCCAACCCTCTCTCCCAATCCCCTCCCCAACCCCTCCCCAACCCTCTCCCCAACCCTCTCTTCAACCCCTCCCCAACCCTCACCCCAACCCTCTACCCCAACCCTCTCCCCAACCCCCTCCCCAACCCTCACCCCAACCCTCTCCCAACCCTCTCCCCAAACCCCTCCCCAACCCTCATCCCCAACCCTCACCCCAACCCTCTCCCCAATCCCCTCAACCCCCCAACCCTCACCCCAACCCTCTCCCCAACCCTCTCCCCAACCCTCACCCCAACCCTCTCCCCAACCCTCCCCAACCCTCACCCCAACCCCCACCCCAACCCTCTCCCCAACCCCTCCCCAACCCTCACCCCAACCCTCTCCCCAACCCTCACCCCAACCCTCCCCAACCCTCTCCCCAACCCTCTCCCCAACCCCCCCAACCCTCTCCCCAACCCTCTCCCCAACCCTCTCCCCAACACCACCCCCCTCCCCAACCCCCCTCACCCCAACCTCACCCCAACCCTCTCCCCAACCCTCACCCCAACCCTCTCCCCAACCCTCTCCCCCACCCTCTCCCCAACCCTCTCCCCAACCCCTCCCCAACCCTCACCCCAACCCTCTCCCCAACCCTCTCCCCAACCCTCTCCCTAACCCTCTCCCCAACCCCTCCCCAACCCTCCTCCCCAACCCTCTCCCCAACCCTCACCCCCACCCTCTCCCCAACCCTCACCCCAACCCTCTCCCCAACCCACTCCCCCCAACCCTCTCCCCAACCCTCTCCCCAACCCTCTCCCCAACCCTCACCCCAACCCTCTCCCCAACCCTCACCCCAACCCTCTCCCCAACCCTCACCCCAACCCTCTCCCCAACCCGATCCCCAACCCTCACCCCAACCCTCTCCCCAACCCTCACCCCAACCCCCTCCCCAACCTCTCCCCAACCCTCACCCCAACCCTCTCCCCAACCCTCTCCCCAACCCTCTCCCCAACCCCCTCCCAACCCCTCTCCCCAACCCTTACCCCAATCCCCTCCCCAACCCTCCCCCCATTCCCTCTCCCCAACCCTCACCCCAATCCCCTCCCCAACCCTCTCCCCAACCCTCACCCCAACCCCTACCCCAACCCTCTCCCCAATCCCCTCCCCAACCCTCTCCCCAATCCCCTCCCCAACCCTCCACCCCAACCCTCTCCCCAACCCTCACCCCCAACCCCTCCCCAGCCCTCAGCCCCAACCCTCATCTCAGCATAGTTGCTGTCAAGACAACAGAGCTGGATCACACTGAGATGCCAAACAATAGGTGCTGGGAACCCAATGAGGTACCAAGACAAAAGGTGCTGGGATCACAATGAGGTACCAAGACAATAGGTGCTGGGATCACAATGAAGTACCAAGACAATAGGTGCTGGGAACACAATGAGGTACCAAGACAATAGGTGCTGGGAACACAATGAGGTACCAAGACAATAGGTGCTGGGAACACAATGAGGTACCAAGACAATAGATGCTGGGTACACAATGAGGTACCAAGACAATAGGTGCTGGGAACACAATGAGGTACCAAGACAATAGGTGCTGGGAACACACTGAGATACCAAGACAATAGGTGCTGGGAACACAATGACGTACCAAGACAATAGGTGCTGGAACACAATGAGGTACCAAGACAATAGATGCTGGGAACACAATGATTTACCAAGACAATAGGTTCTGGGAACACAATGAGGTACCCCGACAATAGGTGCTAGGAACACAATGACGTACCCAGACAATAGGTGCTGGGAACACAATGAGGTACCATGACAATATGTGCTGGGAACACAATGAGGTACCCAGACAATAGGTGCTGGAACACACTGAGATACCAAGACAATAGGTGCTGGGAACACAATGAGGTACCAAGACAATAGGTGCTGGGAACACACTGAGATACCAAGACAATAGGTGCTGGGAACACAATGAGGTACCAAGACAATAGGTGCTGGGAACACTCTGAGGTACCAAGACAATAGGAGCTGAGAACACTCTAAGGTACCAAAACAGTGCTAATCCACAGTGATTGTAGTTATAGGAATTATTTGTTTTAATCTATTTTTATTTGCCCAGAGTCATTCATTCCTTTAATATACATTTTTTTCTTCAAGTATTATTAGTCACAGATATACTCATTTGTGCCGAGGTCTGTTTTTTTATATATATTTACCTCAATATATGAAAGTACCGAGATTATAAGTCCATTCAATTGGGGGGGGGGCGGGGGTGTAATTCACAGAACCTTTTTCGGTAAATGGCGGAACAACATGGAAAAGGCTGCGAACCTCTGCTCTAACTGAATACTTCCCCTCCCCCTCCCTCCCTTCCATTCCTTTCAAAAGGGCATCACTCACAACCACCCCCCAACCTCTTACCCCAACCTTCTCCCCAACACCCTCCCCAACCCTCACCCCAACCCTCTCCCCAACCCTCACCCCAACCCTCACCCCAATCTCCTTCCCAACCCTCTCCGCAACCCTCTCCCCAACCCTCACCCCAACCCTCACCCCAACCCTCTCCCTAATCCCCTCCCCAACCCTCTCTCCAACCCTCACCCCAACTCTCACCCCAACCCTCTCCCCAATCCCCTCCCCAACCCTCACCCCAACCCTCTCCCCAACCCTCACCCCAATCCCCTCCCCAACCATCTCCCCAACCCTCTCCCCAACATCCTCCCCATCCCCTCACCCCATCCCTCACCCCAACCCTCTCCTCAATCCCCTCCCCAACCCTCACCCCACCCTCTCCCCAACCCTCACCCCAACCCTCACCCCAACCCTCACCCAAACCCTCTCCCCAACCCCATCCCCAACCGTCTCCCCAACCCTATCCCAAACCCTCACCCCAACCCTCACCCCAACCCTCTCCCCAAACCTCACCCCAACCCTCTCCCCAACCCCCTCCCCAACACTCACCCAAACCCTCTCCCCAACTCTCACCCCAACCCTCTTCCCAACCCTCTCCCCAACCCCCTACCAACCCCCTCCCCAACCCTCTCCCCAACGCTCACCCCAACACTCTCCCCAACCCTCTCCCCCAACCCTCACCACAATTCCCTCCCCAACCCCCCTCCCCCACCCTCTCCCCACCCCTCCCCTCCCCCCAACCCCCTCCCCAACCCTCACCCCAACCCTCTTCCCAAACCCTCACCTCCCCCCCTCCCCAACCCTCTCCCCAACCCTCTCCCCAACCCTCTACCTAACCCTCTCCCCAACCCTCACCCCCATCCCTCTCCCCCAACCCCCTCCCCAACCCTCTCCCCAACTCTCACCCCCAACCCTCTCCCCAACCCTCTCCCCAACCCCCTCCCCAACCCCCTGTCTAACCCTCTCCCCAACGCTCACCCCATCCCTCTCCCCAACCCTCTCCCCAACCCCTCCCCAACCCTCTCCCCAACTTTCACACCCCAACCCCCTCCCCACCCTCTCCCCAACCCTCTCCCCAACCCTCTCCCCACCCCCTCCCCCACCCTCTCCCCAACCCTCTCCCCAACCCCCTCCCACACCCTCTCCCCAACCCTCACCCTAACCCCCTCCCCAACCCTCACCCCAGCCCTCTCCACAACTCTCACCTCCCCCCTCCCCAACCCTCTCCCCAACTCTCTCCCCAACCCCTCACCCCAACCTCTCCCCAACCCACTCCCCAACCCTCATCCCAACCCTCTCCCAACCCTCACCCCAACCCTCACCCCAACCCTCTCCCCATCCCTCTCCCAAACCCTCACCCCAACCCTCCCCCAACCCTCACCCCAACACTCTCCCCAACCCTCTCCCCAACCCTCACCCCAGCCCTCTTCCCAACCCTCACCCCAACCCTCTCCCCAACCCCTTCCCCAACCCTCTCCCCAACCTTCTCCCCAACCCTTTCTCCCCCAACCCTCACCCCAACCCTCACTCCAACCCTCACCCCATCCCTCTCCCCAATGCCTTCCCCAACTCACTCCTCAACCCTCTCCCCCACCCCCTCCCCAATCCCCTCCCCAATCCCCTCCCCAACCCTCACCCCAACCTTCTCCCCAACTCCTCTCCCCAACCCCCCCCTTAAACCCCTCCCCATCCCTCACCCCAACCCTCTCCCCAACCCTCACCCCAACCCCCGTCCCAACCCTCTCCCCAACCCTCTCCACACCCACTCCCCAACCCTCACCCCAACCCTCTCCCCAACCCTCACCCCAACCCTCTCCAAAACTCTCTCCCCCAACCCTCACCTCAACCCTCTCCCCAACCCTCACCCCAACCCTCTCCCCAACCCCCTCCCCAACCCTCACCCCAGCCCTCATCCCAACCCTCACCCAAACCCTCAACCCAACCCTCTCCTCAACCCCCCCTCCCCAACCCCCTCCCCAAACCCTCTCCCCAACCCTTTTCCCTACCCTCATCCCAACCCTCACCCCAACCCTCACCCCAATCCTCACCCCAACCCTCACCCCATTCCTCTCCCCAACGGGCCTCCACAACCCTCTCCCCAACCTCCTCCCCAATCCCCTCCCCAACCCTCACCCCAACCCTCTCCCCAACCCTCACCCCAACCCTCTCTCCAACCCTCTCCCCAACCCTCCACCCCAAACCTCTCTCCCCAACCCTCACCCCAAGCCTTTCCCTAACCCCCTCCCCAACCTTCACCCCAGCCATCTTCCCCAACCCACACCCAACCCCCTCCCTAACCCCCTTCCCAACCCTCACACCAACCCTCTCCCCAACCCCTAACCCCAACCCCCTCCCCAACCCTCTCCCCAACCCTCTCCCCAACCCTCACCCCAACCCTCCCCCCCAACCCTCACCCACCCACCCCTCACCCCAACCCTCTCCCCAATCCCATCCCCAACCCTCTCCCCAACCCTCTCCCCAACCCTTTCCCCAACCATCACCCCGAACCCTCACCCCAACCCCTCTCCCTAACGCCCTCCCCAACCCTCTCCCCAACCCTCTCCCCAACCCTCACCCCCAATCTCAGCCCAACCCTCTCCCCAACCCTCACCCCAACCCTCTCCCCAACCCACTCTCCAACCCTCTCCCCAACCCCCTCCCCAATCCCCTCCCTAACCCTCACCACACCCTCTCCCAAACCCTCACCCCCACCCTCTCCCCAACCCTCACCCCAGCCCTCTCCCCAACCCACTCCCCAACCCTCTCCCCAACCCCCTTCCCAATCCCCTCCCTAACCCTCACCCAACCCTCTCCCCAACCCTCACCCCAACCCTCTCCCCAACCCTCACCCCATCCCTCTCCCCAACTCTATCCCCAACCCTCACTCCAACACTCTCCCCAACCCTCACCCCAACTCTCTCCCCAACTCTCACCCCAACTCCTCTCCCCAACCCTCACCCCAACCCTCTCTCCCAACCCTCACCCCAACCCTCTCCCCAACCCTCACCCGAACCCTCTCTTTAATCCCCTCCCCAACCCTCCCCCTCACCCTCTCCCCAACCCTTACCCCAATCCCCTCCCCAACCCTCTACCCAACCCTCTCTTCAACCCCCCTCCCCAACCCTCACCCCAACCCCTACCCCAACCCTCTCCCCAATCCCCTCCCCAACCCTCACCCCCAACCCTCTCCCCAACCCTCACCCCAAACCCCTCCCCAACCCTCATCCCCAACCCTCACCCCAACCCTCTCCCCAATCCCCTCCCCAACCCTCTCCTCAACCTCACTCAACCAACTTTCTCCCCAAACCTCTCCCCAACCCTCTCCCCCAACCCTCTCCCCAA